CTCCTAACACTTCTTTTGGCAGCAAGCAGTGTGTTTCCCAGTGTAAGATGGGATGTGGTCCTTCGTGCCTGTGCCAAGCTTGATGCAAAATGCAAACTTGGAAAGACTTTCTACATGATTTGTAATATTAATTCTACAAAAGAAGATTAAAGAAATCACATTAGAAGTCAACCTTTGTATCTTTTCAGCCAGCTTTAGGCACATAGGTCTGAAAAGTGCACAAAGCAGAGATCAATCAGGGAGCACAGAGTTTTGGGAACACACTTCATGTGCAAATGTGAAAACACTTGAGGGTGTAGAAAGTGTCATTTTGATTAATGAGGGCTACAACATGTTATTTGTATATAGATGAGAACGTAAAAGAATAGGAAACAATCACATTTTAAAATATTAACACAATTTTAAAACAGACTTTGAGCATGGTAGAGATACAGCCAGTTCTTTTGAGCTGATCTCACACAAGACCTGGGGAGGGGAGGAAGAGGTGCATGTTTGTGTAACATTATGAACCTTTCAGGATAAACTCTGTAACACAAAACCAACAAAATGAACCATTTGGTAGTTTCTGGAACTGCACATCACAGGTGGCAGAACCCAGGCTGTATCATAAGCATTGTGCATTACTCAGATCCTCTAAAGTCTTCCACTGGTTTGAAATTACCTCACAAAATAAAAATCACAGTCCAAAAGGAAATCCTAAGAATAATACACATTGTACTTGACTGGGAAACACCACGGTTAGGTGGTGAGGGGCAGGTGAGAAATCTTCTGCTTCTGTAATCACCTTGGAATTGCTGGGCAGACAGTTGAGAGTAAAAGCTGTTCACTGCTGCCCATGAAACAGTAAGTGCAGTTGAGAAAAAAAGATGAGAGAAAAGAAAGTTGATTTAGATCAACTAAATCTTTTTGTCCAAGCTCCAGGTAAAGGTAGAGGGGAGAGCTGAGCAAGGCCACAAAGAAAAGATTATCAGCTGAATGGACAGCATGGACAAAGCCCACCTTCAAGTCTGTAAAACAGCACAAATATACAACGGAGATTTGTATATTGTAAAGAACTATGCTCCATTGTATCATATTTTCCATTTATCGTGCCTAAGGGACCCGTATTATTTCTAACAGCCCTCTTAGGTACAGCAATACTAAAGTCATCATGCCTACAGAGGAGCCAACATTGAGAATTATGATGAAAATATTTGTTTTAGATATTTGTATATTTTACAGAGTTTGGATATTTTAAATATCCACAGGAGAAGATGTGACCTTAGCTGTAGTTGTTCAAAGTCCACAAAATTCCCACTCAAGATGTTTAAACCTTAAGAGTATTCCAGTCCTAAATCTCTGCTTCCATGAATGCTGGACATTTGTATGAAAGTATCCAGAGAAACACAGAAGCACATGCCTTGCTCAGGCCATTCAAAACACTGTCTGGACAGAACTTCTCTACAGGGGTCTTTTCATTCTTACCCGGCCATACACCAGAAGCCATGAATTTGGACTTTACCACTCCTCGGAGCCTCCCAAAACCATTAACCAGGAACCTAGAGTACGTGCATCTCCTAATGAACTGACAAATTGCTACTGAGACTGAGATGTGCTTCCCTACGCCATTGGGCAGAGGTTAGAATTTACCTTCTTGGAGTTCATCCCCCTAAAACCACAATGACAAAACCCCACAGAGATTAGGAAGTCAGCACTTGCATAAATGTTTCATTAGTTCAAAGATTCTAAACAGAGGTTAAAGATCCTGCATACCCCATTTGAGAAATAAGGATGACATTCAGAAATACTTAAGAATGCAAAAGCAGCCTATTTTAAAATGTCAAAAGTCCACCTATCCAAAACCAGAGCTATTCACAGCCTCAGATGTATTTCCGAAGCTTAGTATGTACTTCATGTCCTATAACACAGTCAAGCCTCTTCCCCAAACACATCAGATAAGGGGGAAAAAAGTCAGACTACACAAACACAATGCTCTCAGGTAAGAGGAAAGCAGCTCAAGTTCCCTTTCCTTTTCCTTAGTGTTATCTTCACCAAAGCTCGTGGTCTCAAGGACTATCTAAAGTAGTCATTCCTTCATGCAAAATTTAATGAGACATAGACAACTATAAGTTTCCACCAACAGAGAAACAAGACAGTCCAAGGTTTTTAGGGAAGAGTTTTTTCTTAAACACTGTAATGACTCTTTGGCCTGTGCCAGCAGTAAACAAGGAAGGGACATCTCAGAAGATGCAACATAATCAATTCACAAACAATGGCAAAAGTTATTACTGTACTAAAAACAATCCAAACCTCATTCTACTTACTTATTTAGGGTTCTGCACAACATAAAGGACAAATTCCAGTGGTTAAATTGCAACACAGAAACCTCTGTCTGAGACTGATCTCTGAGGAGGCAGTTCCTGTTTGGGAAGCCCAGAGAGTCTGTACCTCTGCTGGCTGCTGCAGTCCAGGACATACAGGAGTTTTCTCAGAACTTGCTTCAAAACTACATTAGAGCCTTTAAGTCATTGCAATGCCACAAACCCCATCAGAACCTGACTGGTGGCTGGTTGACATCATGAGAGTCTGTGGTCTCCACTTTGAACTCCAGTAATGATTGTAATCATCTTTAGCACTGGCTTTAATTTTCAAGTGGTATTACTACCCTGCACTGCCTGGAGTATGTTGCAACTATAGGAAGGTAAATTTTAAACACAAATTTTCCAGTTGAAAGAGATGGATATAGAGTCTGGGATGATGGCTGTCACAGGAACACCTCAAACCATGTCAGTGCACAAGACTGCTGATGCTGTCCATAATGTGTTTGTTTTGCAAAAGGACAGTGACACAATGAGTTTGGGGTGCAAGTGGATCCTCACTAACTCACTTCGATGCATCGATAACATCTCAGCTTGGTTTAGACTAAATCATGACTGACCCAACCCCCCAGATCATTTGGTCAGCTCAGCTGCAACACATGTGAAGGAAATTCAGATTAGATGTTATTGGTGCTTCTGCTAATATTGGTACTTGTTCATTGGGACTGTGAGAGAACAGGTCTTTGTGGCCTCCCATGGGAAAAGGTTTGACTCTATAGTTAGCAAGAGGTGACTGCATTCTCCTATCTTTTTCTTTTAATGCAAACACATCCCAAAATAATTACTTATGGAAAGCCAAGAGGTGCATACTTCAGACCACAGGCAATTTGAGTGTGGAAAAACATTGCACATTTGCTGTTCTTTCAAATCCTGTCATGAGCTAACATGAGTGGGTCTGTCACCCAGACTTTCCCACTATGTATTTCTGGAAATGTAAAAAATAATAATGTATTTCTCATACATAGCACCCAGAAATTTTTTAACTGAAAAAGACTGCTTTTATTTCGAAACTGCTTTCCTAAAATGCTTAGTGGGTAACTTCCATAAGATTCCAAAATGTAGCTATCAGGCAAATGAAGAGGTTGGTCCAAAAAAGATCGTTCTCTTTGAAAAGCCAGAATTTATCCCACATTCTGCTTTACTTCTGGAAGAGAAATTCTGCATTTTCCAAATGTTTTGGAAGCTGTATCAAAGACAGATTTATTCACATCCTCTCAATAAAAATACATTACTGCTGTTACTCAGCCCATTCCAAACATTCACTTTTGTTTTATCCTTTATTTTATAGGTTTTCTTTTATATATATATATATATATATATATATGTATAAAATATTAAGGGAATGTTAGATACACCTAAGAGTTTTACTACTTCATAATCTTACCTTCTATGTTAAAAAGCCTGGTGAAAATTACTACTTCTAAAAAGGTTAAAAGCCTGTTTAGATGTTAGAAAAACATGTCTTAACAACATGCTTCAGAGAGCTAAAAAAATTTTACATTGACACATTTTTTCATCATGTTAAAACCCAACCAAACAAAAGAAATAACCAAACAAAAAACCCCACAACTTTGTTTTCCAACCCTGGAATACTTACTCAAAGATAACATTTAAGTCTGACTAATATCAATGTGGACTCTTTTTTTGTTCAGACTGACTACCAACATCTGAAAATTCAGGAAACTCCGTCTGAAACTCTCAGGATGAATCACAATTTTCTGTTCCCTGGTTTGAAGGGCAGAGGAGAGGGAAGAGAGCCTCAAAGGTTTTCAGTTATTGCCATTGGAAATTTCTGGGAATATTCTAGCAACTGCAAAGTCTTCTGGAAAGCATTTTGTTTCAGTAAAATTAAATTGCTAAGAATTCTGGGTATCAAATATGGCCCATGTGAATTCAGAACACACAAAACCAAGTCTGTATTAGTTGCTTAGCTGCAATAATCTAGAAAACAGGATTTAAGAAATATTCTACTAATTCTATGATACTTCACCTTCTGCAGTGCTTATTTCCTCAGCAAACCCAATAAGTAGTTTTAATTTATTCAGCTTTACCCCACACCCCCCTTCAAGATTTACAACGATACATATCTCCAGCAATTTTCCCCAGGAGATCTTTTGTTTCTTCAACTTGAAAACATCCATTCACATCAAAAGCAAAGTCAGTACAGTTTATTATCCATTAGACAATTTGAATATGATTCTTCTGCTAAAGGCTGTGACTGCAGGCAGCCATCTGGGGTCTGAGCACACAAAAGGCTGTTCGGAAGGGTGTGCGCTCAAAAGCACCATGGGGACAGGGAAGTGTGTGCCTCACAAAGACACCCGATTGTCTTTGGTTTGCTGAGGGCTTTTTTTTTTTTTTTGAGGGTGCCATAAGCATCTATTCAGAAAATTAAGCATGAGGGAGGCAGCGCTCAGATGGCAGACGTCAGCTCCAGCAAGGACAGATGGTGAACAAAGGTGAAAAGCACACAAAGCGCGTGGGCCAGGAGAGCAATTCCACTCCTCCCTCAAAACCTCTTACAGCCCTTGTGACATCCTATGCTGTGAAGTGAAAGTGTGGCCCTACAGGGCCACTTTCCAGCAACTTACAGTATCTGCAGGCTCTCTGTTAATATCCTCTGTTGAGCATTGCCTGCCCTACCTGGGATGATGCACAGGGCTCACAAGAGAGATACCATCTCTGTGGAGGAAAACAACATGGACTGCAGCCCAGATACTGGTCTGGCTTATTGTTTGTCAAGGGGAACGAATCCCACTGGCTCTCTTTTGGAAGAGAAACTCAAGGTCTGATGTGACAAAGAAAACAATCTCATTATTTAACTCACTCAAAATATACCATTATTCACTTATATTTCATTCTGTTACAATTGATTTTAAAATAGGGTTCATAAAGTAAAAAGCAGCCCTCCAATAGAGCTTTTTCTTATGGTGATTTATATGCAGTTTATGCAATGTCAGATATACTACAGCATATATCCTACTGCTAACTAAACTCTGAAAGACTAAGGGTACTTCTAGCCCAAATTGTACTTCTCTAAAATAAAAAAAAAATGTTTTACATCATATTTATACAACAAGGATATAGTGACTCAACAGGCAACAAAGCCCAGATATTTAAATTAAGAGCAGAAATGCCAGCAGGAAAACTGAAAAATCAAGGAGATCATAGGTCAATACAAACAAGCATATCAGTCTTCTGATATGGCACAATTCTTGCTGAAATTGTAAAATACTTCAACTACTGCAGTTGTTGCTGTCTATGAGAAAAGAGTAAGTACTTTTTTCTTTTGTAATATTCTCTCTCTTAAAAAAATATAATGAAATAAAAAAATGGAGAGGCACTTGCATAAGTGGGTGCACAAAACAACCTCCTAATTTAAAAAAAAATTACTGTGGTCTGTCTTTCTTCCTATTCTGAGAGAAAGAGAGGAATATTTAAAAGTCTTGAAAGACTTTTCTTGTTTTGTGGAACGTTGCCCAGGCATGGACATGTTCAGCATCTTTGGGAAGGTTGTCAGTTGTTCACTTTAGACTCTGAAAATTGATCCAAGAACAAATAGTGGCTCTTTGTGGATTAGCCCATCTGTCTGCCAGATGGGGGGAAAGGTGGTATTGCAGTAACAGCTGCTCCAACAAGTTGTGCTGGTTTTGGCTGGGATAGAGTTAATTTTCTTCATAGTAGCTGATATGGGGCTATAATTTGGATTTGTGCTGGAAACAGTGTTGAGAATGCAGAGATTTTTTGTTACTGCTGAGTAGTAATTACACAGAGTCAGGACTTGTGCTCCCACCAGCGAGTGGGCTGGGGGTGCACAAGGATTGGGAGGGGACACAGCCAGGACAGTGACCCCAAAAAAAGCTGGGGGGGAAGAAGGAAGGGGGGAACATTCACAGTGATGGTGGTGTTGTCCCAAGGAGCCCTGCTGTCCTGGGGATGGCTGAACATTTGCCTGCCCATGGGAAGTGGTGAATGAATTCCTTGTTGTGCTTTGCTTGCATGTGTGGCTTTTGCTTTACTTGTTAAACTGTATTTATCTCAGCCCACAAATTTTGTCACTTTTACTCTTCTGATTTACCTCCTTCTGACTGGGGGTGGAGTGAGCAAGAGGCTGCATGGGGCTCATTCCCCAGCTGGGGTTAAGCCATGACACAAGGACAGCAGGTCATGGAAGAATAAGGATGAGGAGAAAGTGAGGAGAGCTGTTATTCAGGAAGCATGTAAATTTTGAATGAGATCAAGATGAGCAAATTTAGAAATGTGTCACTACCATATCAGCACAGAGAAGACACAAGGAAACTTTAAAGATGTGAAAAAGAAATGAAATAAAACTACGCTAACTTATTTAGGGAAAGAAGGAAAAACTATTCGGGACTAATATAGAGTCACCTTTGTTATGTGCAATTTTGATGTAAAGGCCCCTAAACCTTGAGAACCAGGATTTCTTTTGTATCTCTATCACAGCAGAGCTCCAAACCTCAACAATGAAAATTAAGTGCGTGTGCAGTCAGAGATCTGCTTTGTTTTTTCACCTTTGGAGTTACATGTTAAGTCATCAATCAAATGGTCCTGTTCATATGGATGTAGCTAAGACCAGGCAGAATTTTCATTATATCAACCCACTTTTCTTAGGAGTTAACGCTACTGTCTGTTTTGTTTCTAAAGTGAGTCTGCTTCCCAAATTTTAATCCTCATTTAGCTTGAGACAAACACTGATTTGCTATTAAAACATCCTACAAGCAAGTTAACAGCTTGAGTTTCCTTGAATTCATAGAGAGGAGAGGACATTTAATGGAAACTGTAGAGAGTGAGTGGAAAAATTAACATTTTTCTGTACTGGAAGTTAAATAAGGACTTTGTAAACTCTAATTTTCTTCCTCCCTCCAGTTACTTGGATCAACACATAGCCTGCAACACAGTATTCCTGCTTACAAGCTATTGAGTTCTAATTAATTTCTTCCTTGATGCCATGATCCAAAGATTTTAACAGCAGAACCACTTGTTGGGAAGGAGTGCTGTCACATACCTCACTTGGTGACACCAGGAAGAGCAGCCAGTACATGAAACTGGATAGACCAAGAGCTCTTTTCCTTTGAAAGATCAACAGGTTTCTATCTAAAATAGTAGTTGCATGGTATTAAGATTTTACAGTGCTGAACTGCATGCATTTCAACTGTTTCCACTTCTCTAGAAAATGCTACTTTTCTTCTATGAGGGAAGAAAGCAAAGCAAAGCTTGAGGACAGTCACAGGAGGTGATGGTGGAGGGTGTGGAGGGAAATTTCACTGTTAGTTTTAGAACTCCAGCATTCCCTGTTAAAACCTGACACTATAGAGGTAGAGTACTCAATCCTTCCCTCCAGAAATCATTTAGGAACACAAACCTCTCTTCCCTAAAACGTTTTTCCGTGGGATGCTGAAGGGAACCATGACTGTGGAGCGTCAGCACTATCTGGGGCATCACCCACAGGAGTCTGCCAGTGGAGCAGGGAGGAGAACAGGCCGCTCAGGAAGCTCTGTAATTGCATGGTAGGTGAATTGTAAGTCAGCAGCTCTATCATTAAGCTGTAATAATATTACTGCCATGCAGAAAGCTCGACTCAGAGATGGAGTTAAATTGTATGTTGTCAAACTGTGTTCACATTGGAAAATAAATGAACTCTAGTTCAAATGAAACTTCCCTTAATCATACCTCAGCATTACCACATGGTTAATTAGAGGCTTTTTTTAATTAAAAAAAAAAGTTATTTAATAGACAAGATAGCAGGCTTTCAGAAGTTATATATATGCACCTAGTTATTTATTATATAGCTGATCTCCCATCCATATAAATTGCTGCTGCAGTTGCCACACACTTGAAAAAGCTTTTAACTGAAGCTCTTTAGATCAACACAAAGAACTCAACTTTGACAAGATCCTTTACAATTTCCTTAGGTTTAAAAAAAAAAAAGGTCACACACACAGAGGATGCCTAAAGCTTTTTTCCTCTTTTTTTTTGTAATACATCACACTCTTAAAAATGTATTCAAAAATCTAAAAGATGAAAGGAGGAGGATGCTACAGAAAAACTAAAAACAACAAAAAGCACGTTCAGTAAAGAGGCACTCGCCAAAGCACATTTATTTAAAGTGACCTCTGTGAGCACGACTGTGTATTGTTCAGCTGGAGAGCTTGGAACTGTCTCTCACGTCAGCAAACTCCCGAGGCAGTGACTCATGTCTTCCCAAGAGTGTGTGTCTGGCTTTGGGTTTTTGCAGGGGGCGTTGTATTTTCTTTGCTTTTGGCTTTTAAGAAGCAGGTGTTGGTTTTATTATTTAAATAATTGCTTGTTTGCTTTTGAAACATTTGAAACCTTGCTATTGAGACATGGGTACGTGTGAATGTGTTTCTCTCTGAACTGCTAGATAGTTACACTCGAATGTGAACGGAATAAGGAACTCTTGAACATTCTCTTTTTTTGTTTGTTTTTTTTTTTCTGAAAGTGGATCCAGATAGTTGAAAAAATTAAATACAATTCAACCAGCATTTGTAAATGTAGTTCAACTATATATATTTACAGATTTTCACTGCAGAAAAAGGTTTGTTTGCTAAACAAAAAAGTGTTGGTGTTTCACCTGAAAACAAAACAAACAAACCCACAAACTAAACAAAAAACTCCCACAAACACATAAACATCCTAAGAACCAAAAACAACACCCTCAAAAATTCCAGGTAAGGAAAAGCCCAATTCAAATCTACAGATTTTTACCATAAAAATTACAAAAAATTTTTGATTCCTCGGTGCAAGATGGTATCTTTATGAATTTCTAAAATTAATATGTTAAACATATCTATTAAAAGTTAACTAAATTAAACATCTGATTAATTGTGTAACATTGAGACCATGAGGCATGTAGCTTGAAAAGTTGATGGGAAAAAAAATAAAAAACATTAATTGTACCACCCTTTGTAACCAATTTGAGCCACAAGAAATGGAAAAGTAGCCAAAACATAAATAAAAAACATCTTAACCATCCCTTAGCCAAATAAGGCATCAACTTCCTTTTCACTACAACATAGCAAAATGCAGGCTCTAGAAAATCACATTATGGAAGCAGATAGATTGATTGATAACATTAATTCATGCTGCTGACAACTGAACTTATAAATTGATGTAGTGTTGCTTTGAGAATATGGAAATTAGAAAAAAAGAAGGAAATCAATATTTGGTACAGGTACCTGAAATATGTTAAGAAGCTGCTTACAATTCAAATGTATTTTTAGGGCCCCTTAAGCCATTTCTAATTAAATGGTGGACTTTTTAAACCACATAAAACTGCAGATAACTCCATTTAGTACTATCTTGCCATAAAGGAATAGCTCAGGAAAGATGTTGGAAACAAACAAGCTGATATGGAAATCTATTATTGTTCATTTCTTTAAAAACACGGGGATTAATACCTATTAATTGCATTAGCAAATCAGCACTAAAACAATGACAGGATTAACTAATCTTCAAGACAATGTACCAAAGTCTTAATTGATGTAAAACTCCAGTGGAATTGCAGTTGGGAAATACTGAGGAGCAGCAGATGCACACTCGTGCATCTCAGGCTGGGATCTCCCTGTCTCCCCGCTCCCTGTGCCAGCACCACTGCAGTGCTGGCTCCAACCAGGAACCTCCCCAAGGTCAGCAAGGGACGAGACAGAGACAGAAACCTGCAGGAAGTCTAAGGAACATGTGCAGTCTCCCACCCCACAATCTATGAATCTAAGGAAAAGCAATTTAGCTAAGGCTGAGTGTTGCTCC